CTTTCTTCCTATTGTTATCTTGATCAATAGGTGTTGCCACCTCGGGAACCACTTCAACTGGGCACATGGTTTTAACTTATGTTGTCTTATAATCCAAAACGTACACAATTTATTGCCGTGTCATTTGGCTATTAATTCAGAGATCCTACATGATTTCCTATCGGTCATGCTGTAGAGTTTTTTTAAAGTTGGTCAAGGGATTGGCTCCACTTGTCTCTTTGACGAGTTGTGGCTTGGTGCTGAGAGTGGCATGAGTAATTGATGATGCTGACTACGATGCCGGCGAAACGTCTGGGAATGTATCAAGTCTACAATCTGACGCTGGGAATTATGATAATTACTATGGCAGAGGACTAAGGACAAGGTGCGTCGAACTAAGTAGCCTTGGCAACAAGATCAAGTTGGGAAAATGTGGTCAACCCACTTTTATACATCGAAATGAGACTGCGACAATATCAAGGGTCACACCGTCTTGGTCCTCATATATTATATTAGAAATTATAGTTGCTAAAACAGTCAGACACATGCGATTAAAGTGAGGGTTAATACATCTCATTAGAATTAAAGAGTTTTAAAATTAACAGCTAAGTCATTTTTTTCAAATTAACGGTGTCTGTAATATGCCCTAAGCTGATTTGAGAATGAAAACTAAGGTGGAATCATGAAGAAATATTAATAATTAAATTAAATACCCATCTGCTTCGGTGATCCAAGTCGAGAATCTTCGTTCCTGTCATTGAGAAGTATGTTCGAATTTCCTATACTATTGCTGATTTGCCCATAGTTTTTGAAAGAAAACTGTGACTCCATCAATTGATGCTGCCTACTCAGAATAGGCGATCGAAGTGGAGAGGCAGAATCAGAGCTAGAACTGCTCAGACCAATTGAAGGTGTGGAGCAGTCATGAATGGCACTGTTGCCATCATTGGCTACAATTTTTCCAGAATGGTGCAAGAAATCTGTGGGGCAGTCATTTGTTTCTATCTTTGTAGGTGCGCTGCAACGGCCTACTAAGGAAGTGCTGCCAACATTACTCATCCTGCTTGCTAGCGGCTTCAAAGAAGTGATGGTTGTTGCCGATTTTGTTTCTCTCTTGTCTGACACAGCCGTTCTGATCTCCACGATACTAGATGATGCCAAGGGCGAGGGGATAAGACCTGGTGACTGCGGCACCTGGGTATTTGTCTTGTTGGCCGAGGAACTAAGGTGACACGCAATGTAAACGTCACTGGGCGGCGGGAAAGGAAATGCTGAGGCTTGGCTGTTCCGATTTCCACGACAGGTGACAGCCTGAAAATTTTCATTAGGTGAAGTAGATGTAGAAGGTCCAGTTGCTGCGTCATTAGTGATACCTGAACCCCCTCTAGAAGCGCCAGTAACATCTACGTAACCATTACAGTCGCTGATGCAAGCCCAGGAATTTCCTGTGCCTAATTTATAAAAATAATGGAGGAATTTCATTATAAAAACTACAAATATATGTATCATAGCAAATCTGATAAAGAAAGAATGTAAAATGTGAAGCATAATTCATATTAGTTTCATGTGTCCAAGTCAAGCCCATAAGTATGATAATCCTGTGACGTAATAGAGTGTCTAATAAAAGAGACATGTTATGAAATAAATGGATATTTCCCTTTTTAAGTAGGGCTTTGAGACTACCAGCCTGCATAAGAACTGGGTCCACCCTATTTCATTTAAGGAGACGAAGGACTGGTAGTTGAATTTTCCCATAATGATATGAATAGAGTTGATGTTCCATTGAATTTTACATAGCCTTGCTTTCCTAAAAGGTGTTCTCATCCAGGATGGACTGCAGTTTTGGCTTCGCCTAGATCTTATCAACATCCTCAGCGGGAGTCAAACCATGAAAGTAGAGAGTGTAATATGGACAGGCTAAACACTATGCTTCATCGACAATCTCACCAAAGAATGTGATATGGGAAAAATGTCTAGCCTTCCTTGAAAGCCGTAACTGTCCTGTGACCCAGTGGAACTCATGAAAATGTGGCGTAGTGGTTAACGTGTCGAGGTTACAAGTTACACTGCCATGGTTCGACTCTCGCTAGGGTGTGGCCTTTTGTGTGGTCGCAGTCTCCTTTCGTTGTATAGAAGTTGTTTGACCTTGTTTTCGCAA